AAGTTGACAACTGATTGTAGGTCTGCCAACTTGTTTGTCATTCCCTTCATCTCGCCGTCCCTCCTCAAGCATCTGTCTTTCCACACTTAGAGGTCGCTTTCGTTGTAATACCCGCTTTGACATGCTTTCTTCGGCGCGTCTCCCTCTTGGCAGAAGTCCTTTTCCCTGGGATTCTGATCCCGAGGTTCTTCATTATAGTTCTCTTCCTCCACATTAGGATCGGCGTTCTTGCCACTCCCACTAGGGATGTCGTCCCCGACCTTTTCTTTATGCCTCTCATTTGCCATATATTCTCCTTACATTCCCACAGACAACGCCAAATTATGGGTATTGATTTTTGACCACACAACCAAACAGGGAAACTTAGCAGGAAAGAACCGGCAAAATAGATTAAGCCCGAACAACCTGACACAAAAAGATAAGAATCCAGCGATGGTTCGTGCACCCGGGGACACTCCAATGATCAAGTCAGTAATTATCTCTCAAAGATAGCCAATAGTGCTTAACTCACTAGATAGAGCATAAAAATATACCTGAGACCCACGAGAGTACCTTACCTTTATAGCCAACACTAACCTGATTCCTATAGAAGCCTAGCTTCAATGGACTTTGGTTCAATGCTCATCTTGGACTCCCAGCTAGATAGAAGATAAACTCCCTAAGAGTTTTATCTTTATCCAGACTGAGATCCTCCCCCATTCTAGGACTCTTGTCCCTTATCCGCTCATCTCGGATTCCGATATCTCCAAAGATAACCTCGGCCTAGCCGAGATCATCTTGCACATGACCAAGCCACATGGCACTAAGGCTGACACGTCGACGTCACCTCGACCACGTGCTGTCATTCACAAAATATGTTTCCACACTTTCTTTTCTCTTTCTTTTTAATAAATTCCTTATAATTTATCATTATAAATGTTTAAGTTCATCAAAATATTCTTTTATAATTGTTTCTATCTCTCTCATTTCTCTCTTATTTTTCTCAACATCTATCTTCTTCTTCTTTTTTTTCTTTTTTTTTTTATGTATGCTATTACATTTTAAATTGTGATTATCATCATATTTAGTAACTGAAATAGCAAATAATAAAAAATATCAATTAATTAAAACATATCTAAGGCACATGATTTTCAACATCACGTTGATTTGTAGTCATTCTATCACCAAATAAAAATTAAATTTAATTAAATTTTATAATTAATATCACTAAAAATTAATAGTGTTCTCTATGAATCAAAATCCTAATCTCGTCACCATTTACAATAATTAAAGTAGAAATTAAAGCACCACAACTATCACTTGTCACGTTTGACGAATCGTGAATATGTTTGGTAGTATTGGTTAGGGGTGTTCGCGGATCGGTTTTATGCGGTTTGCGGTTCGGTTTTGACCCGCCTGCATCTATACAGTTTGGGAAAAAGTCAACCCGCAACCGCCCGCAGTGCGGTTTGTGCGGATAGGGTTTGCAAATGTGCGGGCGGTTTGCGGTTTACACTTTACACTTTTTTTCTTTAAACATTAATTTTCGAGTTTTTTTTTCCCAGCGAATTTAGGCATCAAATTCATTTTATATATTTGTGATAACAATTTTTTGGTGAGTTTACAAATAAAAGTTGAATATCAATCCATTAAATGAAAGTACCCAAAACAAAGAGACCCTACACTAGCATTTTTGCCATGAAAAAAAATGCATTAAAGATTGTACTCAATTAGAATTGCCAGTTCAGTAATCAATAATCAAACTATAAGTTCCATCGACCATTAGAAGGAAAATTTTATTAGGAAAAAGTAGATGAATCACTAATGAAAATCATATAAGAAATCAAGTTTAGGACTTGATAATTCTACGGCATTAAGAAAGTTGAGAAATACTTAAAAATAAGGATCCTATAGTGTCATAGATAATATAATAGTGCTCCTGTAAAAGTTACAAAGTTGGTATATAAAAAGTAAAAAAAATAAAATAAAATAAAATAATAATAATAATAATAATAATAATAAGGCCTCATCACCTTCTATGGTATTTTCTATTAGTGACATTGTATCAAACCTGCAACAAGTCTTATTTTGCCTTAGAAATAGTGGTTGATCTAGTGTGGAGTTGTGTTGGGATATTGATGCTGGTCTGCTGTGCTGGTCTGGTTACTGCTGTGATGCTGGTATGCTATGCTCTGGTTGCTGCTGAGTTAGGTTATTGTGTCGATAGGTTTGCCCTAGATGAATGGATGATTGTTTGTGTTGGTGGTTGAACGGCTGTATGGCTTTGATGCTGGATGCTTGAATGGGCTGAATGCAGGTCTGCTGGTTGAATGGGCTGAATGCAGGATTTTATTCTTAATTTGAGGCAAATCAGGAAGTTTGTGCTGTTATGTTGTTAGGAGGTTGCTTTTGTGGTGATGTCTTCAAGTTTGATTATTTGTTAGTCTCTGCTGTTACTCTATGGTTTTTTGTGTTTTTTTCATCTAAGCCTGATGTTGTGGCAGCATCTTTTGCTCTCTATTTTGTTAGTTCCTCACCAACTGGCGCTTGGAGCTTTATGATAACTCCAAGCTCCTCTTTATTGATGTAATCTATCATACCTTGTATGTTTTCATCAATAAAGATTTTCTTTGCCGATAAAAAAAAAACTAATACTAGGTTTAGAAAGGGATAAATTACAAATACACCTCCTGAGGTTTGCTTAAAATACGAATTGCCTCCTGTGGTTTGGAAAATTACAAATACCTTACTATCATAATTTTTTATTTAACAGAATTAATTGAAAAAGTGAAATTTTTAACTGTTTACCTATATAATAATAAAATTATTTGAATTATTAATTGAAATAAAATTTTAACATTATTAAAAACTGTTAATTAACTTAATGATTTATTAATAAAAAGACCTATTTGTTATGAAATTAGAAACCTTAGGGGCATAATGTAATTTCTAAAATCATAAAGATAATTTGTAATTTAAGTAAATTTTAGGAGGTGTGTTTGTAATTTACCCTAAATTATATGATAAAAAAATAAATTTTAGAATTATAACAAATATATAAAATAAAATAAAAAATTATAAGATCAATCAATAAAGGACGATGAATTTATTTAAAAACCAAATGCTACAACATTGTCGTTCAATGTCACTATTGCATATTAAGATTCTAAGGATTCAAACTAAAGAATATTTAGGGAAAATAAAATTAGGAAATGGCATTTAAAAATAAAGGACATTTACCTTTATGACAAAAAAATATTTTAAAAAAATAGAGACTTATGTATAGATCCTAATAGGTGGATTTATTATTCAATAGGTCTTATGAAAATTAATGGCGTTTTTCATCAAATACTATTAAAAAAACGTCGTTAATTGTTAATTTTTAACAACAGTTTGAAAATTTTGTCTTAAAAAAATCACTAATTATAAGTTTTAGCGACAGATTAAAAAAATCGTTACAAAAAAAGTCATTAATTTTGAACTTTTAGAGACAGTTTGAAAATTCATTATAGAAAAACGGTACTAATTGTAAATTTTAGCGATAATTTATAAAAATCGGAACAAAAAAAGTCACTAATTATCAATTTTTAATGACATATGTAAAAAATCATCACAAAAAATTATTTTTAACGATGATTTTATTTGGATTTATTTTCAATAGGATTTGATGAGAATTAAAGGGTTGTTTGAGATGTTCTAAATAAGTGCACTTTTTGATTTTTTATAAAATATGAGTTGGGTTTGAAGTGATGTGGTAGAAAGATGATGTGACTTAAATATGATAATGACTTTTGACTTTTTGACTTTTTTAGCATATGCCAAACAAGACCTAAGTCTAATTATTAGGATCTATTGATAATTTATCCTTAAAAAAAAAATCTATTTTGAAAAATATATGAATTTAAAAGTGAATAATTTAGGGATTGTTTAGGATAATTTAAATAAGTATACTTTTTATTTTTTACGAAAAGATATACAAAAAAAAAGAAAAATAATATAACTCAAATAAATACACTTATCTAAATAAGTATACTTATTTAGTTTATACCAAATAATGCATAATTTATAAGTTAGATGTATTTATAGTGTTTTATATTTTCTATGACAACGAAGGTTGTTAACAAAAATCCTTCATGAAAAGTTAATCAGTGTGTTTAGTTTCAATTTTTTGAATTCAGTTTTTTAAAAATTGATTTTTTTGTTTTTTTTCATATTTTTTGTTTTTAATGAATATTTTTTAAATTTTAAACAATTTTTTTACTTTTTTAGATACACCTTACTTAGGTATATCTAAATAATAAAATATTTGTAAAAAATTAATAAATACACAAAAATATATTTAAAAAAATGTACTAAATTTTTATTTTTTTTTTGTATTTTTTATATTTAATGTATATTTTAAATAGTTTTTTCATAAATATTATAGTTTTAAGTGTATTTATATTAAGTATGTTTAAAACATTACTTAAAATATTAAAAAAAATTATTAAAAACATTAAAATATCGAAAATTTAAAAAAAAATCCGAAAATTGTTTTCTACAAACCAAATAATCAATTCTTTAAGTTTTGTGATTTTTTATAATAAAAAAATAAGTAATGAAAACAAAACTAAATATCGAAAATTTAAAAAAAATCCGAAAATTGTTTTCTACAAACCAAATAATCAATTCTTTAAGTTTTGTGATTTTTTATAATAAAAAAATAAGTAATGAAAACAAAACTTAGGGCGCAAATGTCGCCAAGTGCGCACTCCACTCACATGTAAACAGTTTCGAACCAAATGGGTCCCAGTTCCACGCGTCAAACATCGGGAACACCAACGCTTACGTGGACCAATCAGATCGTTAAAATTGATCGTATTTCAACCCTCCCTCTCGTCCACGAATTCTCATACCCATCTTCTCTCCCCCATCATTACTTTGGTCTCCAAGCCACGTGTCACGTCCTCCGTGACCTTCCTTTATTTTAACTTTAAAAAAAATTAATAAAATATTCGTTTTTTTTTCTTCTTCTTCCAAAGCTCCCAAAGCCTATCCCTCTCTCTCTCTCCTCCTCAGACACTCTCTCTCTCTCTCTCTCTCTCTCTCTCTCTAGAACTTTCTCGATTTCTCTCTCTAAAGCATCTGAATTAGGGTTTTTGTTCGCAGTTTCTTGATCTGAACTCTTGGGATACCTGCGAGGTATCCATTTTCCGGTGAGTTTTCAAACGAGATCTTAGTAGAAGTATTGATTTTAGCTGAAAAATTGAATCTTTAGTTGGGTGTTGTTTTACATTGTTCTTGTACTTTTGGTAAATTTGTGGTTTTAATTTCGTTTGTGCTTTGTTTGGATGTTGAGAAACTACGGGGAAAGGAGAAGAAAACTCGATTTTGAGTATTATTGGATTTCTATTTTTTGCAAGAAACTGAGAACTTGACTGAACAGAGCTTGATTGAATCTATTTTCAGTTCTGGAAAAAAAAACAAAAAAATTGAATTTCTACACATGTTCTTTTGTTTTCTCAGCAGCCAAACGGTTATTTTTTTTTTTTTTTGGGGTAGTTGGAATTGACTGCCAGAGAAGAGATTCTTGATGTTGATTTCTAATCCTTTTTGCTTTTATTGATTCAACAAATGGAGGCGAAGGGAAGATTCGTGTTTTAAATATGACATCTGATCAGGCAAGGGCAAGTGCTTTTAGTGCTGGATAGAGCGAATAGAAGGAATGTCTGAGTTGTGTATGTATGAGGTAGAAATCTCTTTTCTATTATCAAGAAAGGCAAGAAGACTCTTTTTGATCATTATTATTATTATTTTTCCCAGTGTGTTTTTATAATTTCTTGTTGGGTAAGTGGCTGATGGAATTCTGAATTCTTATCATTTGTTCATGCTCTTCTGGTAATTGCTTAAAGAATATTTTCATCGTAATTTGCTGCTACTGAATACAGTGATTGCAATATGATTCATGGTATCTGTCTTTGTCTATGACATAATTTGTCAAGGGTATTTTTCTGAACTCCTTATGAAGAATGATGAATAAAGTATACAATAAATGGATATTTAAACTATGCTGTAGTTCACGTATACAGTTTAAATAATTTGAATTATCCTTTCAGAAGCATCCAAATCATGATTACCCACAATTTGTTACATACATGAATGTGCATGAATAATTAGTCAACCAGGTAATATAAGGAGCCCTATAATATAGAATTAATTTTTACATATAAAAATATATAGATATATGGGATAAAATTTGTTATCTATCCATTAGTGTTTTGTATGCTTAATGATTAACAGATTTGAGAGAACAATGATGTCTGGCAATTTTAGTGAAGAAGTGACATAATTGGTAGTAAAGGCATTTTAAAATGCAAACTTTCCAATAGTTTGCTCTAAATATTTTGTTTCCTATCTTAGACTATAGGAAGCCAAGTCTGTCTCCTAGGATATATATATATATATATTTCACCCTGAGGGGGAGGATGTCATTGTACTATTTTCCTATTTGATCTAAAATACTGATATTTACTGTACAGCATGGTATGGTAGGATATTTTATAGATGGTCCCAAATTTGGAAACATATCACTCACCTTGTAAGTTTGTAGATGTCTATGCTCAGGCATGCTGCTTATTAATTTGTCGAATAGCTCCAAAAGACTAAAACTGAGCCTTCACAGAAAGCCCTGTCATCGGGATTTCAGCAAGAACTTCGATACATCATGAATGAGGGAATGAAATAAATGCTAATGCATGAAAACATTTAATGAGGCAAATCAGTTGATTGGAACATGTAAAACCTGCCCAATTTGTCTCTTTGAAAAGCCATTCTTATCCAATCATTGGGCAGGTTTAAACTGCAAAAGTATTGTTACATTCAGGTATAGATCCTCCAGCATAATACTATGTTATTGGAGAACTTAAGTGTGTTATTGACATGTTCTAAGAAACATGGACACTCCTGCGGAGGAAGCTTGTTATGTCCGACACCGACACTCCTCGGTTTGGACACTCCTAAAGCATGTACAACACTTCTTCAATGTGTTTTCATTAAAAAATCAAATCCATAATATCAGACACTTTACTGGTAATTCGCCACTTCAGCAACACTTGTTGAGTCATCCGAACATATCCTATGTGATGTGATGAATCCCTTCATAATCACATTTTTTTTTGCATTCTTAAGAACACTACTTATAAAATCTAAGTATGTTTTGGGGGGAAAAAAAATTGCACCATGTATATTACAATGTTCTATAGTTGTTTTGCATTATGTAGTATGTAATTGTTACATAAATGATATCATTATGTTTAAATTATGAAATATATAACTTCCTTATGTGATTATTATTATTATGTTACATATTTTTCTTTATCTTTGATTAAATTATTCATATATGTGACATATAATAAATTTGTAAAAATATAAAATTTTGATGCGTCCCAAGTGTGGTATGTCCTGCATTTTGTGAAAATTGACATGTTGGTGTCGTGTCATGTCTATGCTACTTAGGCCATGTCTATAAGGGACGAGTGACACTATTTTAATGAACAAAATTTCATTTCATTTCCATGAAAAAAATTCAAACATTTTTTGTTTCCTACGAAACAACACTAAACATTAGTGGAAAACTGAAACTCAAATATTTCCATCAAAACATATGGAAACTCATCGAAATAATTAATTGTTTCGAAGATATCAGGATCCCAAGACAGAATAGTTTCTGTTTTCCTCATTTTGTGTGAAAAATAAAAAGATTTGAAAAAAAGGAGAACACTCCAAATTCGAAGGAGAATATGAGAAAGTGGAATGGAAAAATGAGAGATAAAGAAAAAAGAAAGAAGAGACAGTTGAACCACTTATTCTCTTTCATTGTTATAACAAATTTTTTTTTTTCTTGTTTTCATTATTACTTCTATAATCTAACCTTTATTAATTCTTTTTTTACAATAAAAAATCCCACACAATCTAGCCCTTTAAACCAATGTTTAGGGATCTTCTAATATTAACCTTTCTTAATATATTTATATATATACTGTATATAATAAATAAAAAAATTCTGTCGCAAGACTTTTAGTGCCTCCAAATTGGAAGTCCAGAAATACTCCTTTGAGCTAGGTTTAAAATAATCATTATATTTACCTGTGTTATTTTGTTGGGTTGTTTTGGTAATTTAATTTGGATATATCATGATAAGCAAGGCCAGTTCTATAAACAGGTATGTCGAGATGGCTTGCCTTTTCACAATATGTGTAGAGTTCATTCTTTGGTCCTACCCATCAGGTTCAGGTGTGCTAAAGGTGCACTAGGGTACAAAATGGTGCAAGAAGATTTAGGGGATAAGTCTGGGACTTGGCATATGTCTTTATCAAGGCTTATAACACAATTAAGGCCTCATTTGGGAACAGGCTATTTTAGTAAAGTTGTGTCAATATGTGTTTGTTGACTTTTATTTTAACCTGTTCTCAAGCTCTTTCTATCACCATATTTGATGTAAGGCTAATAAATTTCTTAATTCTATTCTTTATTTGTTTTCCTAGATGTTTCATCTTGAAAGAAATGTGTGCTACCACAAACATAAATTTTGTTGGTTTGTTTGTATGTTCTGTAAAGTGTATGCTTGTCACATCTAAATTTTGGCTATGTTTGGCATGAACTTTTTGGGCTAAAATAGTCACAAAAAGACAAAATAGGCTAGAAAGCCAATAAAACCATACTCATTTCATTTTTTCTCTCACAAAAGTCAAAAAGCTCATCCCAAACGAGGCTTTTTAGCCCCAAGCTAAAATAGCCAAAAAGCCAACCCACATCCCAAATGAAAGCTTTGTTTGTCTGTTCGTATGTTCTGTAAAGTGTGTGTTTGTTTCATCTTCAGATGTACCTGTTTGACTATGGTTATTGTTATCCAAAAAGTTGTTCACATTATCCTTCATTTATTTCTAAATAAAATTTGTACTTATACTATTATATTATTTATGAACCTTCATTCGCTCAAATCATTTTTTCATACCTTTTTCCTTAGCAAGTGGTCAACTTAATTGCTGAAGTATGGCTTTTTGCCTTGAATACTTTTGCTGCAGAGAAGCCTCTTATTTTACAAGCAGTGTAACTCTGTATTCTATAGTCGCACAGCTGTGCTATAGAGCATTTGGTGTGATATTAGATGTATCGTAATTGACCTATCCGCTTCATAGGTTGTTGTTCATGGCCAACTCCTATTTACATTTTTACTTTGCCATAAGGTAGTAGAACTCTTGCAGTTCCACTACCTTGCATCCAACATTTTCTTCATTTTCTAGCATATTAACTGAATCCCTTTTCTCTTCCCACATCCTCTCGGGGGCTGTTAAAATCCACCTACTCTCCACCTACTTCACCCACTTAAACCTACTCCACTAAACCTAACCCACTAAATCCACATACTCTCCACCTACTTCACCCACTTAAACCGTATCGTAATTGACCTATCCGCTTCATAGGTTGTTGTTCATGGCCAACTCCTATTTACATTTTTACTCTGCCAGAAGGTAGTAGAACTCTTGCAGTTCCACTACCTTGCATCCAACATTTTCTTCATTTTCTAGCATATTAACTGAATCCCTTTAATGACATTTTATCCGGGTGTCTTTTTTTTCTCTCTGTTCCTTTTTTTTTTTCTTTCTTTTCTTTCTTTCTTTTGTCTTTCTTTTTTTCCCTTTTCAGGTTCTCAAGATATAGAAGATAATTGGTGGAAGGCATTATTGGAATGACCTCTACTATCTTGATTGCAACCTAAGTGTCAGTTTGCAACTCTTGATTCAATGTTTCGGAAGTATTAACATTAAAATATCTAGAGTTAGTTACCTCATTTAGTTTTTCCTTTGTCTTAGGATGTGATTCTTGTTTATTTTATAGCATCATAGAGTCTCATTGTCACTAAGGGTTTGTTGCGGGTTAGTTATCTTGTGTGTTTAGATAACAAGAAGTGAAGAAGAAAGAAGAGGAGGAAAGGGCAGAATACATGAAGATTTCTTCTGCTATTATGAACCCTAGGTCACTCTGTGTAGGATTCCACTCTCATGTGAGTGTTATCAAATTCAATTGACTATGCAGAAATTGGGTGGCTAGTAGCTACTCAACCTAGATTTGCAACGACGTAGAATTCCACTCTCATATAGCCAATTTAGGGAACCACTAAGTGGGTGTTTGGGAAGTGGCTATTTTAGAGGCTTTTTGGCTTTTTGACTTTTTTGGTAGGCTATTTTAGTTTTTGTGTTTGGGAAGATAGGATAGATTTTTATTGTGTTTGAGAAGATATGATAGATTTTTGTTTGAGTTGTTGTATTGAAAAATGTGTTTGAAATGGTGTTTGAAGTTGAAATGACAAATTTACCCCTAAGCTCACTTTGTCCAAAATTGGTCTACAAGGGCAAAATTGTCATTTTCGCCTATGGGAGTAGGCTGGCAAAACACTGTGCCTATACTGTCATTGACAGTGTAGGCTGCTGGCTGCTTTGTTTGTTGTGTTTTTTTTTTTTTTTTTTTTTTAAAATCAGTGGGTGCCTAGCTACTGTTGAGGCTAAAAGCTTTTTTGACACTTTGAGGCTAAAATAGCCTATAGTCCCACTTCCCAAACACCGCCTAAATCTTAATAGGATCAGGATTTGGCTATCTAAAATTACCTCAAGATGGGAATTCCTTCAATCATGTGCAAACTGGCTAAATTATAGTCAACGTCTGGAGGATGCAGGATAAGTAATTTTAATACCCTTTGGCAACTCCCATTGTCTGTGAAAGTATTCTCACTGTATTCCTTAATTAGTTAGTCGGATATAGTGTCAATAGGCCTGCACCAAAAAATCCAATTGCTGTTAAGGGATTGTAATATGATTTTTTTCTGAGGATCAAGATTCCATTTCAAGCTGGCCTACATTAATCTCAAGAAAACGTGTAGGTTTGCCCAATTCCTTTTTATCTTAAAACTTTGCAAAGACTGCCCAACAAGTTCTTAATTTTCATTTCTCCATCATCATGACATCATAAATCATCAACATAAACTGTAATGACAAAATTTCCCATGAATGGTTAATGAATAAATTTATGTCAACTTGCTTACATTGGTACTTTTGAATGACTAGATTGGATCTTTTGGACTAGCTCTAGGAGCTTGCTTTAACCATACAAAGCTCTTATTGACCCAATAATTATGCTTTTCGTCTGGGGATATGTTGTGCAGAAGCATTTCTGCTGATGTCATCTACTATAGAAGTAACTCAAGAAAATACTTCTCTGCCTCTGGATAAACTTTCTTGTGCCATCTGTCTCTTTTGTTTATATGATGTTGGATTTTGTCTCATTTTACTTTCTCCTGTCGGAGGATTTATGTCATATTCGTGAATTTATTCTTATCTACTTAATTTCCTCTTTTAGTTCCACTATATTCTCTATTGTTACTGTTGTTTATGTTTTTGTAAGTTCCGTTATGGGTTGTAAAATTATGTTTTAGTCAGCACAGTTTTTATGTAGTTAGATAATTAGATAACTTACATCTTATTTAGTTGAATGCATTTTAAGTTTTATGTAGTTAGATAATTAGATAACTTACATCTTATTTAGTTGAATGCATTTTAAGGAATTTTTCTTTAGTATGTATGCAGTCATTACAGCTAAAATTGTGTTACAGGTGCTACAGCTTGAAGATATTGTTCTGGATGAATTTGATCAGACTGATGATCATATAGTACCTCACCCTGGTAATGAACATGGGATTGAACCTGCATTTCAGGGTAATAGCTGCAAGAAAGCTCGATGTGAAGTAATTGGCATTTCAAGTTCTGCCAATTATGCTAGTCAGGTCAAGGGGGAAGGAGGATTGCAACCTCTGAAGAACACAAGTGAAACAATGTTGGAAAAGGATTTGTGGTCTGACAGACCTGAAGCTGTGTTTACTGCTTCACATGATAGTGACGCGAACAAAGTGACAGCTTTAGAATCTGATAATACAAGGATGTCTAGTCATTGCTTAAAAAGAAGTAACATGGATACAATCAATACTGAGTTTTATGCTGATGATCCTATCATTGGTGAGAGGTGTGCTGTGGTTGATAGTAACTCCTATAATTATCCTCTCGGCGACATTTCTGAAACAGAAAATGATTTCAGTCTTTTCCATAATGATAGTGAGGGCAAAGAATCTAATGACCTCTTATATTATGCGTGGCCTGATATTGGAAACCTTGAGGATGTTGACAGAATGTTTAGGTACTTTATTTCCTTATTATCCCCTCTTAGTGTGTGTGTGTGTGTGTGTGTATTTATACTTTATTGATGTTGGCAGAAGTTGTGAATCAACATTTGGGATTGGGGGCGCTGGCAACGAAGATGATTTATGTTGGTTTTCATCATCACACTCTATTGAAGGGCCTCAGGATGTGTTGAAGTCGGAGTTCAAGTTTTCTTGTCCCGAGTCAAGTCCATTTAATAATATACCAGAACAACATGAACCCTCTAAACTGAACAATGCAAGTTCTTCAGTCAACAATTCCAGCATGGAGAGTGCATCTATTAGCTATGAATCTGGTTTTCAGGCATCAGAAGGTGTTGAGATTGATGCTCTTGATAACTTGAAGTTCATGAATGGGTCTGGTACAATGTCTAAAAGCAAAGAGGAGGTCAGTAGAAGCTATTGTACTTTCAAATGCATTTATTATCTGTGCTACATTTTATACAACTGAGGAACCTTAAGTATTTGTTTTCCAGGTTAAAAGCATGTTAGGTTTGTATTTTTTATTTTTTTTTTTGCAGGGAGTTGAGTTTAATGGTGCCGTTCATTCCAACATTGCAACTGTCAACCACTCTGAAACTGTGAACAGTGGGATGGTATGTTACTGAACAAGAGGTTGCCCTATAATAAACGCATTTCCTTTTTATATTATGACTTTTGGTTAGCTCTGGTTGATTGAGCCATGCACAAAACTTTTTGGTGTTGCCTACGTAAATTTGTATTTAAAGTGCATTCATAGCTATTCAGTCTATTTGATTTATTTTTCAAAATTCATGTACATTAGTGGCCCATTCGGTTTATTCTTTAAAATTATTATGCATTCATTTCACCTGATTTTGATTATGTATGAGGGGTAATTTGGTATAATTCTTCCAGTCTAACAAATCCTTCTGCCTGAATTTTTTTCAAGATTCAACAATTTACACCTTCTAATTGTTTAAACGTTTTTATTACATGGCAGATCAATTTTCAGAACCTGCAGGCAAAGCACCATAATCAATCAGAAGGAAAAAGAAAGGACCGACGCTTCAAAAATGGTGGCTTGTTCCATCAGACTGGAAACCTATGGTTTAAAGACACAAAGCTTCCTTCTGGGAACTCATCTCGTCAAGTTTTCACCTCTTCAGGCATTCAGAAACCAAAGAAAAATGTAGGACCTGGTTCCTTTGGTTACTTGCAGACCCAAATACCTTATGTTCATTTGGACTACATCCATCCTTCAGATCAAATTCCAGTTTGTTCAACACCCTCTGGTATCAACTCCAAAAGTAATGGTCTCATATCTCTTACCCCAAAGGAGTCTTGTTGTGTATCGAATTGTTCATTTGAGGCCCCTGTCATAACAGTGGATGGCAAAAGAGGAAAGCTACAACGCCAACAAGGATATCATCCCCCATATACTAGCAATTCTAAACATGTGGATTTGGTGGTTCAGACCTGTGATCCAATTTCAGTCCCAAAGCAAGTCCACCATTCTCAAAATGAAATTGAAAATCACATTGAAGTCAAAGGAGTTGACATAAAAGTTCCAGCAGATTTAGATTCTTCAAACGTACAGGAAAGTTCTTGCATGAGCTCGGGGTTCGGTGAAATCTCACTGGAAGCATCTAGTTTTCGCCAGCTTCAACAAGTCATGGAACAGGTACAAAATGGTTTTCAAGCCTTGAATTATATTGTTGCTACTAAGAGCATCTAATTATCAGCTATGGTCATCTAGTAAAAATATAGGAGTGTGTCCTTTGTGTGTAATAAAATGTTCACTGATAGTGTCTTATAATGTACACATAAATCGCTGAAACCATAGAGGTTCTATATGCAGGTCACCTTGTATTAAAACTCCAACATGTGCGAATGTAGTCATGTAGGCTGGTAAACTATGAAGCATGGGTACTTCGAAAAACATGTCGTACTCGTACCGGGTATTTACCGGCGTACCGTACCTCGTATGGTACTTCTGCATACGTACCTGGTACACGAAATACATACCCAAGTTTTTTCTTTTTAATTTTTGACGTACCCAGACGTACCTAGTATATATCTAAGCCGTACCGTACCTCAGTTGAAACAATATTTTCCTTCTACTACAGTAATAAAACTCACTTCACTAGATTTCTTTTTCAATTTTTGTTTTATGCTTAACATAATTTTAAAATTAAACTATGGTTTGTTAGTTATTTAATATATTGACATTTAATTTTGATTTATACTTTTCCTTTTCGCATTAAATGTTAATTATAGGTTGGACCTTAACAAATTAAACCATTTAATTACTTTTTACATTACTCTAAATTAAAAATAAATATTTTTTTATTAACGTACCAAGCTGTACCCGTACCCTATTTTTTTTGAATTTTACCATATCGACGTACCCGTATCGTACCAGTACCAGTACTCGTACCCGTACCTATGCTTCATAGCTGGTAAATATCTGGGATGAATGTAATTTTTTTATTGAATTCTGTACATGGAAGGGAATTCAAAAACTCTCTTGTGCAATGCATGAAAGAATGCAACTGCCATGCTGTAGTATTCACACATACTATGCTAAATTCCTCATACCAAAAGAAAAGTTTGATCTTGCACTATATTATTCTACGCGTATGCATTTAAGGAATTATACTCTGAAGGTTTTTATATCTATGATAATTTGTGTGAGCACTAGGCTGAATTGTTTGTGATGTTGTATGGTTCTGTTTTACTTCTTAGAAATTGACTGTGCCGAACCTGCTTCATTTCAGCTGGATATGAAGACAAAATTATGCATAAGGGATAGTCTGTACCGCTTGGCTAGGAACGCTGAACAAAGACATCATCACATGAATTTGAATGATGGCAGCGTAGATGATGGAGACACCAGTGGAGCATTTATGGCTGAAGGAACAAAAAAGTATGCAATATTGCTTGCTTTTTGCACTTCAATTAATTAATAAATTTTATAAAAAAAATGATCATACTGACAGGCTCTTGTTATAATTTTATTTTCCCATGCCTATGTAATAATCACATAACATAGGCTTTAGAAATGCTGCATATTTTTAGCGTGATAATACTGATGGATGATGATGATGATGATTTTTTCTGAACTATTTAACTGACGTGGAGGAAAATCAGGTTTGAATATAGTGAGTTTGCTGTCTGACCCAGTTCACACTATTAAAATTGACTGGTTTCTGACAATAACTTGCCAGCACAAAATGTAGGGGATTTTGTTAGCTTTAAACCTTGAAGGAGTCCAGAATTCCCCTCCCACTCTGATTAGAAGTGACCCAATCTGATTTGCATCAACTCTACTTCTTGTGAATTTTCCGCTTTTGACATTGCTAACTACACTGGTGCACCTCCTTTCTTTTTCCACATATGTTTAGCATGTTATTGAACAAATTTTATCAAAATCTTATATGATATACATATCTATCATCATTCTTTTTAACACTCGGAAGTGTTAACCCTCTGAAAGTCTATTGGAGTGTATATTTGTATGTTATTTTATGGTTGTTCACCCAAACACTCGGAAGAGTTAAGTTGATGTAGCATAAGCACTAAAACTTTCGCCGACAAGCAGTTATCTCAAAATTGATTTAAGGCAGCAGGGAAAGGCTTTATTAGGGTTGAATATCTTTGGATTTTGTGGTTGAAAGATTGATAACAATATAGGGTTAGGGTTTATATAGGGATAAAAAAAAAGGGGGGTAAGGCTTTGGGGCTATGGACAATAGCCTGAGAACAGTAACAAAAGGCTATTTTGTAGTTTTATATTGTTATGTTCAAGGAAGCAAAAGGGGTTGGGCCTAGGATCAAAGATGTTAGAGGGTCATCAAGGGGATTAAAATTAAGTATTGAGGGTAGAAAAGACCTATAAATTAGGAATCTCTTCTAGAAAGAATTAATGGAGTCTCACCATTTAAGAAAACACAAATCTTTAGAATTTTTTACAAGCTAGCTTATATAGGAGTACAAGACTTCTACTAGACTAGGCCTGTCTCAGTTCTTACTAGGAAATGGTTTTTAAAACATTTTACAAAAGAAGAAAAAGGAAACATTAACTTTGCTAAATAAACCCCTCGCTAACTTGAAAATGTAGGGGGTATTTGTGTGTCAAAGTCGAATTTCAATGGAGTGTCTTCAATAATGAGAAGCTACCATAATGAGAACCCACCCAACCCTCCCCATAACCAAGATGAAAATAAAATGATTTTTATGGGCAACTGGAATGGCGACGATAATGTGAAGATGGATTTTTTTTTGACAAGTAATAACGTAAAGATGGATTCATGTAAACATGCCGAGATGATATTTGACCCCAAGTACATGAAGAGACAATGGAGTGGAATTTGTTCCTTTGTTTAGGGTACATCAAGTCCCGCTTTCATATTAACCTTTATAAATCAATGACCTGCATATCATTAATTCTAGAAATGCTTCTGCTTAAATAAGATTGACAGGCGTTCAGCTATTTTTGTCCGAGTTTTGCTTAATCGTATGATTATTTCAGGTCCAATGGATTTATGGATTTGGAAACTGATACAAATCCTATAGATCGGTCCATAGCACACTTACTATTTCACCGGCCTTCATACTCGTCCATAATGCCAGCTCATGATAGTTTGTCTCTCAATTCACATACAATGGTAAGCTTTCATAAATGTTCATAAATTTGTAGTTAATGCTAGATGATTATAGACTATATGCTAGATAGAAACTCCATCCTTGTAAGTTTACTATTATTGAACTGAATGAACAGATTCATGGGTCTAGCACCAGTCCACTTGTTATGGCTGAGAAACTCATTTGTGAAGAAACTGCCAGTGAAGAAGATAAAAAAGTAGTGGATCAACGACAATGACCAATGAAATCATTAGCTTCAATGCAGTAACAATGAAATATGTCTATTATGGATTACTAAGCATGATCATGTGTATAAAATACATCGAGAGGCTGCCATGAAACTGCCAGGTTTGATACCATGTTTTTTAGATATCACAACTGAAATTAGTTTTGGTCTCTGTCAGTGATTAGCCTTGTAATATAATCATCATGAAAACCTAATTATCTGCTTATTCTTTCACTCATAATTTAAGAGTTTGCTGCATCTAAATGTCTGCGTGTTAGTTATTATGCCAACCATTTAGGAGGAGACATTGTACAGTGGTTATGAGTCATTTGATTTAACTTTACTTTTTGCTTCACACCACATTTTTTTTTGGATGGGCTTTGCTTCTCACCTTGTTGAATAGCTCTAAGAATTTATTAAGGCAAGAGCTATTGTCTTTGTGATTTTTTGCTTCTGGTACTAGAAATTTTGCTTGCAAAATCTAGAGTTCTATTCTATCTATCTATATCTATATCTCTGTCTCTCTTGCATAAGTTGCACTGCACACATGATCATACAGACAGACATATTTGGAAGTGTGGCAGTCATTCTATTCTTTCTTGTCTTCCATGCAAAAACTGCTAAACACGTTACATGACTTCGCCTAATTTAGCTGGCTTGTGGCTATTGAACAATCAAATGGCAATTGAAATTTCATTTTCTGATATATGTGGATGGTGGTTGTTCATCAAGTCTCTTAGCCTTTAATTTTCATTATTTTGTTATTTTTGGTAATAAATGTTATATGGATGTGTGTGTTTGAATTTATTTTTTCTTGCTTAATCCATGATGGTTATGCCTATATACGTATCCCTTTCTCTCGCATCACTGAACCCACAATGCATGGATGGGGGTTGTGGATACAGCCATTAAAGCCTTGGATTCATCACTTTTCATTTTCAATATTTAAAGGAGATTATTTTTCTGTCCATAAATTTCAGTATGCTACCATCAACTTCAGTCTATCTCTAATTTCAAATTCGATTTTTTTTTTCTCAGACAAAACATGAAGGTGGTCTTTAATGTTGTCAACATTGTACAGCCACAAACATATGATTTTCCCATCATAATACAGCATTCCAGTATGGCAATCAAACTTTGTGTTGTTCTTTTTTTGTAGCCAATGAATGTGTTGCTGGAGAGTATTGAGTTTCTTCTGGTGTTTTGCATCAACAATGTGCAAAGCATTTCCATTTTGTAATTATATGTGAGGTTTTTGGTGCTATTATGTACACACATTTTCATTATTCTCTCTTTTAACTTGATATTTTTTGCTACTAAAATGAATCAAGTTCTTCGAGCTTAGTGTAGTTGAGAAAGTTCGCTTGCGATCAATTTGAAAGGTCAAATTTAACTAAAACATTTTATCACCTAATTTATTTAGAGTTCTAACTACAACCCTCTTTTAATCCCAACCATTATGATGCCTTTTGTTGTAATTTCATTTTAAATCAGCGATTTCAAAAAAAAATTTAATTGAATCAGTTATTTCAAAATTTGTATAGATGTTGAACATAACAAACTTTAAATTCATTCAATTTTGGATTTATGTAATTCTATTTTTAAAAGAATTGGCCAGAGGCATCTAAATTTTTACATTGCATTTGCATTTATGAATTTGAAAGGAAAGGATTTAATACTTTATTCAACGAGAATCAATACCTGCAATTTTAAAAATTATATCTTGGCTTTTCAAATTTTTAATAAATAATTAATAGCATAATAAATTATCTCTTTTATTAACAAATTATGAAGTTAATTAATAGTTTTAAATGGTTTTATAAATATATTTCAATTAAATATGTTTAATTATATTTTTTTTTTTTTTTTTTTTTGCTGCTTGGAGGACGTTGAATACATTGTCACATTGGACATATATATAAAAGAGGATATATCCATTTTGGAACATAGATTATTGTTAAAGAAATCCATCTCAATCTATTCAACGAGAATCGATACCTGCAATTTTAAAAATTATATCTTGGCTTTTCAAATTTCTAATAAATAATTAATAGCATAATAAATTATTTATTTTATTAACAAATTATGAAGTTAATTAATAGTTTTAAATGGTTTTATAAATATATTTCAATTAAAAATTTTATTGTTGCATAGGAAGGTAATTAGAAATATTACTTCTTTTTTTTTTTGTTAATTTTGTTACATAAAAAATATTGACAAAGAATATTTGTAATTTCAAAATTACATGAGCAATTCATACTTCAAGTAAATTTTAAAGGATGTATTTATATTTTACCCTAATTATTTATTATCTGCAAATTATATAAGTCACCTCTCTAGTTTTTGTTTTTTTTGTTTTTGGCTTTTGGCTTTTTGTTTTTTTATTTATTTTTAAGTACTCAACCCCTTTTATATTAATGTATACCCAAGCTTGACAATTACTAACATAATTAAATATGTTTAATTATATTTGTTTTTTTTTTGCTGCTTGGAGGACGTTGAATACATTGTCACATTGGACATATATATAAAAGAGGATATATCCATTTTGGAACATAGACTATTGTTAAAGTAATCCATCTCAATCAATCCAAATTTTAAAATTCTTAATTCCATCTCAAATAAACGACAAGACAAATAAGCAATATGTAGAATGAATTTAGCATAAGAAAATTTTCATTTTGTAACTCCACAATAAAAGAGGACATGTATCTTTTTATATCGATAAAAATTAATGTTATAATTTATATTTAATTTTTTATTACAAAATATTCACTCTCTAAATTATAATCCTGAATCCATCCTGCAAGTCAGCCTCCTATCATTTTACCATGAGAAGAAAAATGATTCTCTCTCAAGAAATTTGTTCATTCTTCGGAATTACAAAAGGACGTGAAAATATACAAGAATTTTTGAATCTCTATGATATATGGTTATCTTTCAATATAAGTTTTAACAAGTTTTTTAGTTTTTATTTTTTATTCTCAACTTGATATACTTAGAGAATAGATCATTCATTTTTTTTGCCAAATCAAAAATTAAATCAAGTCACGAGCATACAAACCGGTCGTAACCTACCTAAGAACAATGACCTTGTGTTCCAAACATAACCAATAAAAACAATGATGACTCCACAAAATTTATTCAAGTTTAGTTTGTTTATCTTTTAAACTGATTTCGAATTTTTATCAAGCTAAGCTCAATAAAGCCAAGCTTAAGTTGTATGTATAGTAATTGTTGAGCTTTAGAAACTGTTCAAGCTTAGCTGCTTCACTTATTCACAAGAGGTCAATTTCGAACACGTGTATAGCGAAATTGCCACCGATTATAGGACAATGGTTGTTACCTTGTCATACGTAGAAAGCTCTCAACCAAACTCAGGTTAGTGGAATCAAAACAAAGAAATAGGGAATATATAAAACTTACCAAGTGATAAAATAAGGTTTTGTCAAGTGATAAATTTACTTTCCCATTTTCATGGCTATTCGCAAATTTACTAAAAAAAATTTAAAATGTTGGGGAAGATGTGGAATGAAAAGATGTCATGCTACTATTGACATGAACAACCCTATAATAAAAAATATCAACCTGGGGCTCAACAATAATAAAAAAAAAAATGACCCGAAAATAAATGAAGAAGAAATTGAATATGATCATCCTCAGTTTGGCCGCAAATAAGGTACAAAAAAGACTATTTCACTGCTGTTGGGGCTTGAATTCCTTCGTCGTTGATTGAAATTTGGGAAAGCTTCGACTTGATGGTCTCAAACACTGAGTCCTGCATTTCTTCGTTTGTCAACCATGACGACAAGCAAAGATCAATCAAATCATTGTTGGTCTTAGTAAGTGAACCATTCTTGAAGATTCTAGTCTTCCCAAACTTCATGATCCTCTCTAACTTCAACTCAGATGGATCTTCAGTGTAATTTTCTAGAATGCCTCTAATGGCACCGCACCAGATCGGTCTGGCTGTCCTAAGGAATTCATGCACAGCCAAAACTGGAAGGTTCACACTTCCCAAATCGGACTCACTCTGCCCACCTCTCCCGTGAAAATCCGACCCTCCAAGCTTCATTAGATCATAGGCATCTGCTAGGTCACTGTATGCTGTTAACAAAGAAGTGAATTAAGATATGAACAGTAAAAAGTCTTTAAAATCTGAAGAAAAAAAGCTATAGGGTTGTCGAAGAAGTCATTTCCCAAGAAGTAGTCAGTGTCGTAAGCGTTTGATCAAGGGTCAGCATCAAGCCAAGCCAGCCCTCGAAAATGACGCCCAAGTCTGTCCATGGGGGCATTTTCTGAAATGTCAGGCTGGGCCGAACGGCAAGCCAAAACCATAGGCCCAAGCCCTACCTAGTGGGCTTGGACCAGATGAGTCAATGAGCTGGGAAACCATTGCCTCTCACAGGCTAATTGGCTGCCTCTCATGGGCTGGGCCAGGTTTCAAACACTAGGCCCAAGGCTATTCTAAGCGTGATTCAGGTCGGGTCAGCCCACCTAAGGTACAGACTTGGGGTTAAGATTGTGGTTGCACATTACATTTAATGTCAAAAACCACTACCGGATAAATTTTAACAGAATTTGTAACTAATTTAAATGCATCACATTTCAAAAAAACACTTCAAATCTCATTATCATCTGACGGTACTAATCATTTTCTATGCATACACTATACTCTATAAAACCCACATAGATTAAATTCTTAATAACACAAATTTCCAATTATTAAAGCAACCACTTAACATCCACTTCACTTTCAAATTCAGAACACAAACAAGTAAGCATTTATGGGAATAAATCATTCTCATACCTGCCAGTTTTCCATCACTTCTATAAACCTCTATTCCATGAAGGCCCGCATCTTTCAATCTCCTCACAATGGCAACAGGATTCTTTAATGCCCATGGATGAGCCAGCACTGCCACACCCCCTGTTTCACATATCAATTGCACTGCTTCCTCCGCAAGAGGCTCACTTCCTCTGGATCCAAACCAAATAAAAAATATTTTAATCATCGACCTTTCCAGATGGAAATGCATGAACTCTTACCATAGAAATCAACATGTCCAAAAATTATTACGTGGAATAAGCCGGTCCACCATCATAAAGATATCGAGCAAAAGCTTGCTTCAGATTCTCCACATAGCCCGCTTCAACCATAGCTCGAGCCACATGCAATCTCCCGGGAGCAACTCCCTTGCCGGCAATCTTTGCGACGTGCTCCCACTTAAGAGGGAATTTAAGTTTGTTCAATTTTGAAACCATGTTCTTTGCGCGAAGGTAACGTCCATCCCTAATGTTAGCCAAGAACGATTCCAGTTCCTCGGATCTTGTTGGCCCGCAGCTGCTGTAATATGCAAGGATGTGAACTGGCTCCTCTGTACCAGACTCGCCCCTATTTTATTTCCCAAACATCAGGGCATAACGATATAGAAGGGAAAGGAAATCGTACAAAATTTTCACCTTGTTTGGTTTATAACTCAAAATTTGTCTTCGAATTTTTTGTTGTTCATGCTTTCAAGCCTTAGCAATTTTTTTTCATATTTTAGCCTCTTTTTTTTTTTTTTTTTTTAGATGTACCTAAAATGTAAAATATTTATGAAGAAATCTAGGGGGGAAAAAAAAACTCACTCAAGACCAAACAAACCAACAAATATCCTCTTTTTTTTTTGGTCTAGAGCAAACTTTTTTCATATTTCTGCACAAATATTTTACTTTTAAAGTGCATTTAGTTTAGGTATATCTAAAAAGTTGTAAAAAAAAATTGACTAAAATATGAAAAAAAACAAAAAAAAAATTACTACAAAAAAAAAAAACTCAAAACAATTTTCAAAAACTAAATCAAACAATGAAAATAATGTTCCCCATCTGTTGCAATGACCAATCAAGACCATAAAAGCATAATTCAAAAGATGACCTTGGGGAGTAAAGTGTACTGATTTCAACACCCGGGATGATCCTGATGCCAAATCTGCGAGCTGCATCCAGTGCTTCAGGAACAGACATTGTGTCATGATCTGTCAGAGCAAGAGCTTTCACCTGTTCTGAACATACTGTACTAGTTAACCACAATTACATCCGACCCAAAGTTGAAACAATTAGCTTGTAAGAAAAGTAGAATCAAGCTAACAAGAACTGCATGTTAAAGTTTTCCTCAATTTAGTTTAAGTTAATCATGCCATTTCTTATCATCTCATTTCATGTTCTCCTTGACCTTTCTCTATTACCACCACTCACGTGGATAACATCACTCATCTTTACCGGCACACTAACTGATCTACGTTTCGCATGTCCATGCCACCTCAAATGGCTTTCCCTCATTTTACTTCCATAATGTCATGAATTTTTCCATCTCATTTCTAAAACTTGATGAGAATTCAAATATCAAAACTATGCAAATTCAACATGAAATATTCCAAGACAAGGTTATTATTAGCTCTAAATAGCAAAAGATAAGGATTGAAATGTTTATGAAAAATGAAATTTTAATTATATTAGCAACATTCCTTCACTTTTTTTATTATTTTTATATTTTTCATGTACCTTCTTAAAAAAAAAATAGCAAAATAGTTGCCCATACTTTGGACCAACTACAATAATTTTTGTTTTTTTTTTTTTTTTTGATCGGCAAAGAAAAATATAATTTTTGTTTCTACTTCCCCCTCCCCTCCCCTCTTCTCAAATGAAGTGTCAAATTATAAGAGCCAACTTGGAGGGCTAAACTAACCTAAGCAGAATGAGCCTGATTTTTGGAGGTGAACAATACAACAAAGAGCAAGACAAAGATACGTAAGAGAAGGTAGAACGATATTTAAGAACTTTCAACATATAAAAGAACGAAGAAAATAGCAATACATTCTTAAAAAGGTAAGGTAAACTGGGAGGATAGACTATTTTTAGTGAAAAGACAAAGCTAGAACTCTGAGCTAATTCCTTCTGAGGTTTTGACAGAAAACATATAGGTCAGCTAAAGAATAAATTCCATCCTAGCTAAAAAAACAAAAACAAAAAGAAGAAGAAGAAGAAGAAGATCAGAAGATGCGAAAAAAATTGAAGGGAAAAATAAAGAAAACCCTTCTCCCACATGATTATCCCATAATTTGACAACGATTCCACTCCCACACACAGTGAAAAGAAAAAGATAAAGAGATATCATCACTTACAAGCAGGGTTTTTCTAGAAACATACATTGAATCCCAACCATGTGAAAAGGTGTCCTAATTAACACAAGCAAATGGTTAATTTAAAACATGCACAATCACATATTTGGGAAAGCAACGTGCCCCATATTATAGCCATAACTACCTCTAAAAGTTGTAAGAGTTTGGCTTTGATTTGACAAGAAACCAAGCACTACATCTTTCTTCTGAAGTAGCATAAACTTTTCAATCACTGCCGATATAACTTCCATCAGGCACATTAGGGCCTTGACCAAGAATTAAACCATTATAAATCACAATCCATCTGAAAGTTCACAATTATCAAAGAGATACAACCCATACTTGAAAAAGAGGAATCAAAATGTTACACGGACTCTTTAATATAAATCAAATACCCGTGTCGGACACCCAACACTCGCACAAGGATATGGGATGTGTCGGATAATTTACATCAGACACTTCTTATATAATTGTATTTAACACTATTATTATATGAACATATTGTTGTATAATTATTATAAATGTCTTTTTATCACTGTAAATTACATATTATCTCATATACTTTATTAAAAATATAAAAATATGATATTTTTTTTGCCAAGTCTGCGTATCCTTAAATTTGTGGTTTGATAAATCCGACATCTAAATAGATACCCACATCCGACACCCATACCCAAGTCCATGTAACATTTCAAACTTTTCAGGTGACAGATGGAGAGGAAACCAGCCAGCAAATTTTCATATTTGCTTCACAGATTGCTACTGATAAAGAAGCTATGGTCGCATCAGTTGCAAAGAGAGACAAAGATGGAAAATGAACTGGACTAGTTTTAAGTTCTGTTTTAATTTAGCATACTACCAAAACATATATTTGTCTGCTAAATCAACTAAATATTTTGATAAAAAAGCTATTACAATACACTCCACTTCCCAGAATTATTTCAATACAACCTACTTTGTTTTTTGTTAAAAAAAAATTGTAATTGCATTTTGTATAATTGCTCTCTAGTACTATTTCTAAGATCCATTTTCCTTGAAGCCAAAAATAACTTTAGTTTTTTTTGTTTACATACTAGAAGCATGTAGTCTTTTCTATGCTTTAGCCTGTATAAAGTGTACTTTATACAGATTTGTTACTGAGCTGCTCCATATATAAGAGGCAGGAGTGAGTGTTTTATGTTGTGATATGCCGTTTTAGCACTGCTAACATCTGTACTAATCCAGTACAGAATTCAAGCGTAGAAACCAATACTGAAATATAAACAGGACCACAAACAGCAAACTATGTGCATATTGAACATTGAATAACTACCACCAAAAATAAATTTCTGTCAAAATTATCTGAATATGCCAAACCCAATACTTTAAAAAAAAAAAAAACCAAGGGGCCATCCTAGTTGGCAAGGGAGTTTGCTCCTCTCCTTGCTGAACAAGTTCGAATCTCTGACTAATCAAGTAAAACTCTGACAGTATAGGTGGAACAGCTAGCTTCCCACCCAGTTTGGTTTGTAAGGGTAGATCATAAGGGAGTGTTATGGGCATCAGAAAAAAAAAAAAAAGGTCTCAAACACTCCTCCAATGAATTAAACCACAGAAACCCATTTTTGGACAAAATCAGAAGAGACAAAGAAAATAGCTTCCTCTCATACACTGTTTCTCAACTTCAAAATTGCCAAACCATTACACAATCTGAACACTGAAACCCCAAAAATAAGCTTTGAGTAATAAAAAAAAATTAAGAAAACCCAATAATAAACAATGCAGAACCCAAGCCAAAACATACATTTCCATCCATAAAAAGCATAACCCAATTCAGATATGCATTAAAAAACAAAAATTTAAACATTACAGTAAAGAAAAAACAGCTCACCCCCTTTTGATGGGCTCTCTCAACCAGCTTGGAAGGCGACAAGAACCCATCACTGCAAATCGAATGAGAGTGAAATTCAAACACCAACTTCTCCGAAACCTTCTTGTGGTTGAGGAACACCCCAAAATCATCATCCACAGCAGAGGAAGCAGCAGAGGAGTGGTCCAAGAAGACCCATTCACTGATCCATCGATAGGCAACGGTCTGGTCAAGGGTCATCTTTTTCTTGGAACCACCACGCTGCTTCTTCTTCTTCTTCTTGGTGGTGGTGCTGGAGTTGGGTTTCTTTGGGTTATTATTATCACCCATATATCAAATCAAATCAGGAGAGTGTTTTTGGGATTTTGGGAGCGAGTGAAAGAGAATGAATGAATGCTGTTTTGGGGGCAACAAAAATGAAGCGTGAAAAGGAGGAGCAGAAATAGAACCTATTTTGGGGGATTTCTTTGTTTGTGGGTTTCTACTAGGCCTATTTATTTAGGATCTAGGGTATTTTTTTATTTTTTTTGTTTATTTTTTTAATTTTTTTTTGCAGATGTAAACAAAGAGAGAGTAGACAGACAAGATAGAGCATTAGGATCAGGGGTAAGCTTGTTTGTTTCTGATTTTTAGAAAATAATTTTTAAAAAAAATTATTTTTTTATTTTTTCATATTTTAATATTTTTAATGAATGCTTTTAACATTTTAAATAATTTTTTTAATTTTTAAATCCGCTAATATAAATATATTTAAAAAGTATAATATTTATAAAAAAAAATGTTTAACAAATACCCTAAATACCAAAAAATACAAAAATAAAAAAAAAATGAAAATTTAGTGTATTTTTATTATTTTGTGTATTTATTAATTTTTTAAAATATTTTTTCACAAATATTTAATTATTTAGATACATCTGAATAAGGTGCATCTAAAAAAGTAAAAAATAAAAAATTGTTTAAAATTTTAAAAATATTCACTAAAAATAAAAAAACTCAATTTTCAGAAAATTAAATTTAAAAAACTGAAATCAAACATACTATTTTTATTTTTATTTTTTTTTGTATCTCTTGTAATATAATAATTTCGTGTGCCTCCATTCCATTCAATCACGATAAATTTTGTCCAGAAATAAGAGGCGATTTGGATATGATTTATTTAGTGATTTTTTAATTTTTTATAAAAATATATGTAAAAAATAAAAAGATGATGTGATAATTTATAACAAATAAACAGTTTATTTAGATGGTTGCTAATTAAAGATGTAAATTATTCTCAATGCTAATTATTAATTAGAATAAAAATTAAGCATTTTTTTTATCCAACCTTCTCTCATATGGGTTTGGAGTTAGCTTTTTATTGATTTTTTTGTTTTTTTTTTTTTTAACGTCAACAAAAATTAATGTATATGAAAAGTTGCTAAAATGTTGATTTTTTGTGAATGAAAAAATTAATACGACATGATTTTTTTAATTATAACATTTAAATTTTAACCTCAAATGTCTAATTTTTAACTTAGAGCGCTTCTATCTATACAATAAGTTGGTCTCATTATACAAAATAAATTGGTCTCATTGCAAATTAGGGAGAGAATTGAGGAATTAAGTGGAGGGGGACGACAAGGAGGGGAGACTTGTGGAGGGGATAGAATAGAGACAAGTTAGGATAGCAAAAAAAATGGTTGAGAAATAGGGGTTTGAGATGGGGGGATATAGAAGAAAGAGTTAGAAGAGTGTAGGGATTGAAGGATAGAGACAGTAGCTAACCATATAGAAAAAAGTGATAGTGAAGGGTCGGTGGCGAGAGACAATAGTAGCGATGGGCTCATGGAGGTATGGGGAATGGGATGGTAGATTGAGAAATTAGAATTTTAAAACTTTAAGATTTGAGTCTTTAATGACAATTTTACCTACAGATAAAATTTAAAAAAAAAATTTGAAAAATCAGAAGTATAATGAAATATTTTTGTTTGTGGCTACTTCGTGATGAAAAATAAGCTTCGGTTTATGGCAAAATGCAAATGGGAACAAGCCTATAAATCGAGCTATGGGCCTTCTACAAGGGCCTTACTGTCATACTATAAAAGGGACTAAACAATATGATGATAGAAACTGATGCGACCCAAATAGTACAGCTAATGGGAGAAGAAATAGGGGACAAATGTTCCTTCAAAAACTTGGTGAAAGATGTCAAAATACTTCTTAGATAATGTGAATGCACTATTCAACACGTTTGGAAAGAAAGCAACTTATGTGCGGATGCTTTGGCTAAATTAGGTGTAGAACAACCTAAAGAAAATGTTGGTGGTGAATGAACCACCAATTGAAATTAAGAGCTTGTTAGTTGCAAAAATGATAGGACTCTCTAGTGAACGGGCTTAGCCCTTTGTTATAGTTCTCTTTCCGATGTAACTAAAAAAAAAAAAAAAAATTTAAGGTATTTTTTACAAGAAAATTGCTACATGTAGGGTTTAAGATTGATTTAATAATTAAATGGGTTTAAAATTATGTTCAAGTTTAATTTGTTTACCTAACAAATCAATTTTGAATAAATTTTTAACAAGTTGAACACAAATGAAGCTTGTGTAATTAATTTTTTATAGTGTATATAAGTTTGTTGAACCAAATAATAGATTATTATAGTTTGGCATAAAAATTTAACAAATTTAAAATTATATTTAAATTTGACTTGTTTACATATTGAATTAATTTCAAACAAGTTTTTAATGAGTCAAACATGAGTGAAGTTTGAAAAACTTGATATTTTATATTGTTTACAAACTTATCAAGTCAAGTAATATATTGTTTAAACTTGACTTAAAAATTTAATGAATTTAAAATTTTATTCAAATTTAATTTATTTATATAACGTGCCGATTTGGGAAAAAAAAAATTTAACAAATCAAATACAAGTTTAGTTAATTGGTTTAACAACTCTAATTAGATTCGCTCCAACATTGGTATACATAATTTTTTTTCTCCAAATTTTAGATTAAAAAAAAATAAGAAAAGAAAGAGTTTTTTAGTTCAATATATTTATTCCGCCTAAATAATTATAATGACAGGGGTTAGTATAACTTTTCAAATGTCAAGAGTGATATGTATTACACCCAATTTTGATCACAAAAATGTTAAAGATCCCAAAAGTTCTACCAAAATTTCTACCAAATGTCTCACATAGATATGGACATTTGATAAAATTTTTGGGATCTCTAACATTACAATTTTGATTATCCAAATTTTGAAAAGTGTTTTAAAGTACATTTTTGCATCCTCATTCCATCCTAGGCATTCCTAGGCCATGTTTAAGGCATCTTAATGAGGATAATGTTATAGAACCACACCAAGCCAAATAGGGGCTAAGTTGTTTATCCCGAGTGTATAATTAGTGTGTGTTCGTTCTGCAGCTGTGTAGGGTTGGCACCCGAGGACACTGATTAGCCTGCCCATAGCCCAGTAATCTGTGAGTAACAATGTTGTAAAGATACGTTCAATTATAATTATTTCTGAATGATTAACTGTACTGTTTTCTGAAATGATATTTTCTACTGAATGAATGTTTGTCCTGTTTAGGGATGGCAATTTAAACCCGGCCCGACGGGGACCCGATCCCCCGACCCCGAGTTGAGCAGTTTTTTCCCGAAAAATATCACCAACGGGGAGGGGACGGTATTCAAAAATTAATCCCCGATCAATTTCGGGCCGGGGACGGGGATTAGTGTTTCAGCCCCGTCCCCGTCCCCGTTTCCCCGATGTAATATTACTATTATACCCCCATATATATATATACATATATGAACCACACCCTAAAACACACACAACCTGTGTGAGTCACACCGCCCCCCTCTCTCTCTTGCGCTCTCTCTCTCTCTCTCTTTTTCTCTCTCCCCGCGCCGATCTCCTCCTCTCCCTGCCGATCTCTCGTCGATAGCCCTCCTCCTCTCTCTCTCCCGGCCGATCTTCCTTCTCTACCCGCCGATCTCCCGCCTCCTCTTCCTCAGTTCTACTGCCGATCGAGACCCCCCCTCCTCTCCAAACTCTGCCGCAAGCACAGCGCTAAGAGTCTGGCCACGGCGGCTCTGTTGAGGCTGATGAGGAAGAGATGTTCGGCTGCCATTGTTGACACTCGTGTGCTTGTTCTTGACCCCTCTCTCTTTCTCTGTGAATGTTTCAAATTTTTTATTTTTTATACATGTGCTAGATGAGTGAAATGAAGATTATTGGTATATGATGAGTGATCTGTGAATGTATACTTCTTTGCACTATTTTTTTTTTTTTGATCGGATCGTTCTTTGCACTATTGATATATGATTTGCACTATTGATCTGTGAATGTTGAAACAGATTTCGATCGGGGGAGTTTCGGGGTCGGGGAAACCCGATCCCCGTTGGGGCCGGGGATGGGGACAGTCATAGGCTCCCCGTCGGGGATCGGGGCCGGGGCCGGGGACATTTTCGCCATCGGGGATCGGGGACGGGGAGGGTGATCCCCGGCCCCGCCCCGCCCCGTTGCCATTCCTATCTGCAAAGTGTAAAGAGGTTGTACTGCGGACCAAAAATCGTAAGTTCGCATTCATTGTCAGCTGCTCTCTCTCTTTCAAAAACAAATAAATAAATAGGATAAATTATAATAATAGTTCTTATAGTTCGAGATTTGTATCACTTTAATTTTTGATTTTTCAATTGTGACACATTTAATCCTAAATTTTGAATCTTGTTCTAAATAAGAACAATTGGACATACAATTACTTAATTTTAAAGGCAAAATCGTCAATTTGATGAAATATAAACTAATTTAACAAAAATAAATGTCAAAAAAAAAATTTAAATTTTTTAAAAATTATTTCTACCCACAAAAAATAAAATTATGTAAAATTAATAAAAATTACATGATTAATTTTTTAAAATTAATTTTACATGATCATCATCTAAATACATAATAAAAATTAATTTGGTAAAAAAATAAATAAATGTCTAAAAGATTTATCAATTTTATATAATTTTATCTTTAGTAGATAGAAATAATTTTTAAAAATTCAAAAATAATTTTTTGACTTTTGTTTTTTCAAATTAATTTTTATTTTATCAAATTGACGATTTTGCCCTTGAAAAATCCAATAGTATCTACAATTGTCCTTATTTGAAACAAGATTCAAAATTCAGGGTCAAATGTGTCACAATTGAAAAGTTAGGAACCAAAATGACATAAGCCCCAAATTATAGAAACCATTAGTGTAATTCACCCAAATAAATAATGTTATATGTATGAATTAATATATTAACGGATAATATGACATAATTTTAAAAGTTTTGGTTATTTGTAATTTATATAATAAGTGAGATCAGCAATAATTGTATAACACTAGTTAGCACACTAATGTGTATATTAATTGATACATATAGTATCACCGCTTAAAAATACCGAAAGAGGAAGAGATGAGTTAAAAATTACTTCCTAACTTTTAATCTATTTTAG